TCGCGGGGACCGCCGCGAACCGGTTGAAACCCACCCCTGAATGGGGACTAATAAGACACTTCCAAAATGAGCATTCTTAAGTTTCACTATCTTTATCAATTTTTTGCCAGGTTTCTTAGATTCCATAGGTCCTCATTGTTTTTTTTTTCTATAGAAAGTTTTAATATTAATTTTAGGTTGTAATTATGACTGGAATTAAAAGTTATATCATTATATTCTTTCCAAGCATTACGTATGCCTGTGGATATTGGTCTATGCAATAGGTAATACATACGTACATCTACCTCACTGGAAAATGTTTTAATCTTTTTCTGCAGGTATAAAAGAAGTAAGAACAGATTTATACAGTGTTCCATGTTGATTAAGATTTACAAACTTAGCTGCCACCCACTCAGCATGAAAGGGAGTTGAACTACATTAGCTGGGAGACTGGATGAAACAGAAACCTTGATCTTCCCTTAACTCTATCACTCTTTAGTCTGGGGAGATCATATTAAGACAAAACTAGAAATTATCAATGTCAAATTTGCCAAGATCCAAGAGTTCTGCAACATCAGAGTACCTTGCAGTAGATGTCTGGATTTGTGGATTTAATTGACCAACCTGCAGCTTTCTAAGACAGAACTTTTAGAGGATATTCTTGGATTGGTTGCCATAGTTAAACATTTAGATGTTTAAAGTCTTCTATCTGTAGTGTTTAGATTCAGGCTATTGGGCGGGGGGTGTCTTGTAACTATCAAAATATAGCTGCTTTTCAGATTATATATAATTTTTTTGGAGGGGGGAGTGCATTAATTAAGTTCACATTTGAAGAAGTGTAAATCTCCTCCCACATCATTGTTTCAGGTGTGACATTAGAGGATAGCTAAATAAATTTTGCTCCTTAAAATTTAAATTTCCACTTATTTTGTGCACACAATCTCTGTAATTTAGTTCTTCAGATATCCCTGTTATGAAGTGTTTGTTGTCTAATGCATTGCATTCTTTAAAATTAATTGCATTCCATTGCATTCTTTAAAATTAAAAACTTGAAAGATTGTAGTAAACTTGAATTGTGAAAAAATTAACTGTGTCTCCAGTAAGTGTTTCTGTAAGATGATCGTATAGGAAAGTTTCTTGAATTTCACAGCTCCATACTGGATCATATTTTAAATAAGGCATTTTATAGTATGCCTTATATTAAAAAAAAACAAGGCCAGCAAATTACTGACTGATCTAAACAGTACAGAACATTTTGCAACAGCTTTGAACAGANCAACCCTGAGCAGGTGAGATTTGAACAGCCGAACTGCAGAACTGCAGTCAGCTGAAGTAGCCTGCAGTGCTGCCTTTAACCACTGCGCCACCTCGGCTACTATTATATGTTAAAATGTATTAGTATTAAATCTCTGGTTTAAGATAAAAGGAGATATTAGTGTTCTATAGGTTATATTTATCAGAGACTTTGGTGCAATATATTTAGAGGCAGATATGTAGAACTTAATCTTTAGTTAATGCATAGTGGGCTCCAGATTTTCTTCTTTACTTCCAAAATATTTGCTATGTCACCATATGCTTTCTTTTCATTTAACATAAAAAACCCATCAATGGTATAATGAGAACACACTTTCTGTTCCTGTGTCATTTCAGTAAAATATCTTGTAGACGTTCAGGAGTTCTCCCTCATCTTTTCTGAGAAGAGGTTTTTAGCAAATCACTGTATCTTCACACAGCAGATAGGAACGGATAATTTTCCTAGTAAAATAATCTGCTCAGTATTTCTAAAATGTTTTCTACTGTTCATTAGTCTACTAACTTTCTGATCTTGTCAGTTGTCCAATTCTGCACAACTCTTATATTTTGAGGCACAATTAATGAGTCATTTGTTCATTAGGTATTGTTGGAAATAGTACCATAGAAATATGCCGGTATAATATAATTAGCATTATAAGGTAAAGGTAAAGGTTCACTTCGCACATATGTGCTAGTTGTTCCCGACTCTAGGGGGCGGTGCTCATCTCTGTTTCAAAGCTGAAGAGTCAGCGCTGTCCGAAGACATCGCCATGGTCATGTGGCTGGCATGACTAAATGCAGAAGTTAATTAACTAATTAACATTGTTAATTATAATTAGCATTATAACTAGATATAATAAATGCACAAGTACAATGTTTACCTTATTTATTTAATTGTGTTCTCTTTATCTACGGCGAATGGAAAATAGATCATGCTTAAGTTATATTTATATAGGAATATAGAATATTCAAAGGATTCATAAAGGGTTCTTAATCACTTTTTAACATGGTAAAATGTGAGTTAGATGGTTGCTTGGGGTGTTTTCAGATTTGTTATGATGAGATTCTGTAATTTCAGAGCTTTTGTGTGCCATAGGGAAAAGCTAATGTTAAAACAGATATTAAAATATATTTTGTAAACATCTTTATCCACCTGCTTGACGTTTAGGGATAAGAATTCACATGGTAAATAAAGTAGGTATTTTCTTTGTTAAACAGATTCCTTCTCTTTCAGAGCAAAATAGTTCATCTGCTTCTGTGTTTACATATAGTTTTTTTAAAAAATTAATTCTTGTATAGTTTCTTCAATTTATATATTTATCTAATTGGCTATACATATTTTAGAAGTTAGATTGTGCTATTGTAACTATTAAATATGTCCTGAGATTGCAACAGAATATAAAGTTATTAAATAAATATATTGTATTTTTTTCTTCTTGCAGATTGAAAAATGAAAAAGCCTTTCGGCTCAGCATTGTGGGTAAGTGTAATTTATATTTTCAGATTTTGTAAAATTAATCTTTGTTGTATTTCCTTGGAAGAAGTTCTAGCCACTGCTAATATTTTTTTAAAAACTTTTATATCAACTATGTATTCGGTTTAACATTAGGGATACTACGCTACTATTACTTGGAATTTTGGAATACTGGTTCCTTTATACAGTTCTGATTTTTTATTAGTTTTTCTATAACATTTGGAAGTTTTGCATAATTCATAAACTTTTTTTAAAAGAGAATTTTAATCAGTTTTTAACTTTAACTTAACTTAATTTTTCATCTTTATAAAGCATATATTTTTGAAATTGTGCATGTGAGAAACTAAATAAATTTTGTAATTAGCATCATTATTCTACATTAGTAAATAAAATCATTTATTACATTTACATGTTTAATTATTTTTAGAAATAACCAGATTTATTTTTTTCTTCATTTGCCTGGCAATAGATAATACACTAGCTGGCTTTTTTAAAAATAAAAAATAATATTTCAAATAGGAGGACTTCTGGTGAAGATTCATTGTGTACTAGACATCTCCAAAGAAGTGAACTTGACATTACGGCCAGATGATCAGCCAGATGGTGAATTCTGGCTGACAAAATATTTGTACTTGCCACAGGTGCTTCTTGTGAGTAGATTGCAGGAACAAATTTTTTGTGGTTGGCTCGGGAATCAAGGAGCAAAGAACTGATGAATTCTAACTAAAAGCTCTTAGCTGATATATATGCCATGTGTACCCAAAGCTCACCTAGATTTAATCACTTTTGGAAATTGCTTTTTAGCTGCTTTCTAGTCATTAGGAACCAAAGCAATTACACATCTTATAGTGAAAGATTTATACGATCTGAAGAGAAACCAGAGTATGAGGGTAGACAATTTTTATCTAGGCTTTCTCCTCCAGGACACTAACCCGGTTACCACGTATGCAGTGGCAAAGTTCTGT